GAGCGTCTCTCATTGGCTGGGCCCTGAGCGTCTCTCATTGGCTGGGCTGTTGCGGGGGCCGGAGGAAACCTTCCTAGTCGATCCCCGGTAGTGTGTCCACCTGCCGGGTCCCTGCTGGGTCTGCCCTTCACCCAGAGCGGCGCTGCCGAGATGTCCCCTGCTAGCCTCCAACCCCCACTTCGGCGACATTTCCTAGTCCCCTCGTCGGAATTCACGTCCCCGTGGCGCACACAGACTGTTTCTGTGGCTGGATGACGACGGCGTCCCTGTGAGGTCCCGTGGGAACCCTGGTGTCCCCGCGCGGGACGTGTCCCGCACTGTGGTTCCGTGCGGGCCCTGCGGGAAGGCCACCTTCCGCGACCACGCGGAAAAGCGCGGTGCGCGCGGGGGCGGGCGCTTGCAGGGCTCACGGGCTGTTTCGTGGCAGGAGCTAGAGCAGCAGCTCCTGATCGAGAAGAGGAACTACCGGAAGACGCTGAAGTTCTACCAGAAGCTCCTGCAGAAGGAGAAGCGCAGTAAAGGTAGCTCGGGGCCGGGCAGAGGCGCTCCGGGGGGCTGGGGCCCGCTTTGTGCCAACTCTGCCCGCCCCCAGGCTCCGAGGTGAAGACCATGTTGTCCAAACTGAGAGGGCAGCTGGAAGAAATGAAGTGCAAAGTGCAGTTCCTGGGACTGGTCAAGAAGTACCTGCAGGCAAGTCGGCCCGAATCCCTAACCCCCTTGACCCCCCCCCCCCGCCCCGTCAGTAGCAGGGTGACCCAGCGCCCGCGTCCTGCCAGCACCTGGTGGCAGCAGGCCAACCAGACAGAGGCAGCTTGCTTCCCTGCACACACAGGTCATGTACGCAGAGCGGTGGGGCCTGGAGCCCTGCGCCCTGCCCGTGATTGTGAACATCTCCGCGGCCCACTGCGACACACTGGATTTCAGCCCCCTGGATGAGTCCTCGTCCCTCATCTTCTACAACGTCAGCAAGCACCCGCGTGGCGGCAAGCAGAGGAAGGCCCGCGTCCTGCAGGCCGGCACGCCTCTGGGGCTCATGGCATACCTCTACTCCAGGTGCGGCCTCCCATGCCCCAAGTGGGGAGGTGGGCCTGTGGGATTCCCTGGACCCCTTCAAGCCTTTTGAAAGCAAAAGGGAGACAGAAAAAAAGAAACAGGCCCCCAGGAGGTGAGCAAGGTGAGAAAAGTCTCTGCCTTCCCTCATCTGAGATGGGTTTATACTTCTTTTAATTTAAAAATGTTTTCATCAGAACTTTAAGCGGCCTATGTCAGCTGCCATTTGTCTCCTTTGCCAAGCTCTTGGCTGGACCTGCACCTGGAATCTCAGGTGCGCCCGGACAGGTGCCGGGAGGAGAGCCGGGGAATGTGGCCATGCACAATTAACAACCCAGGGTTCTTCTAAAATTAAACACACACAGGAGCCTCAGAAACATACCTGGATCCCAGCCACTTTGCCAGGTGAAAACACCCCACAATTAATCGTCTAGCTCCCCAGGGACCGCCAGGGAGGTTGGTCTCAGCACACTCATTGAATTACTTCTGCAGCCACTGTCTCTGGGCATGAGCACAACGTTGTTTCATCAGATACCCTAACTGATGTGCAAGGTGTGCATGCTCACCCTGCAGCAGGGAGGGCCAGTCCCCTCACACCCAGGGTCACAGGCACCCTCAGGACACCCCCACCCTGTCCATCGGCACGGTCACATGTCCTGTGTGGATAGACCTCTAGTGTTCACCTGGTATGCAGGCACAGGACCTCCTGGCAGGTTCCCTTGACCCAATGGCCTGGCCCATTCCCAGGCACGGGGCCCAGCAGTTCAGGGTCGGGTACACACTACCTTCCCAGGCAGTAGTGGGAGGCCTCACCCAGTCTTGGCTTTGGGAGACCCATGACACACTTGGGAGCCCCTGAGGCCTTCTTTAAGCTGGAGGCTGTGGTGACCCCAGAACTGATGGTCAGGTGTCAGCAGGGAACACTGGGGGCTGTCGGGGAACAAGGGAAGTCCCTGAGAGCAGGGGCCTTCCAGGCCTCCCAGGACAGCAGCCTCTGCCCCTGTAGCCTGAACTCCTGAGGTGGACTGCACCTGGCTGTGCTGGGAGCCTTCCACTGGCCGGGGGCCCAGGTATACCCTTTGCAAGATGGATATACCACACACACCGAGGGTTGGCTATGTGATTACAGGAGACTTGTGTGTGCATGTGTGTGGGTGGGGTGTGTGTGTGCATGAGGTGTGTGTGTGCGTGGGGGGGGTGAGTGGGGTGTGTGCATATGTGCATGGGGTGTGTGTGTGTTGAGGGCTCTTGCATTGTGTGCTGTGTGTTTGTACACAGCACCTCCAACAAGGGGAGAGCCTTCACTCGTGTGGTTTATCTTCACAGGCTGGGCCTGACCCCGGCCACAGCATCCCCAGCCCACAGAAGCCCCAGGGTGACTGGGTGGCTGACCTCCCTCATTCTTCAGACATCATGTCTGCACTCTGAAGCACCTTCCAGTGGCTGGGGAGGCAGCCTTGCCAGGACCCACGCACCTTTCTTGTTTCCGAGACTCAGTCACTGACCTGCATGGTGTCGCCCGACCTGGGGCTCCCTGGGGCACCCCTGAGGGTGGGGGATGCTCGGTGAAGCGTAAGGACCCTCCTTCCCTCAACTACCTGGTTTTGCCATGAAGAAACTGAGAACTTTGGGGCACAAACTGCCACTCTCATTTCTAATGCAGTGAGTTCCAATTTGGGGGCTGGAGTTGCTGCCTATGCATAGGAGTTTTCTGAATAGGTTCTAGAAGCAGAGAGTGAGGGTGCCTTAAATATCAGTGGCAAAGAAGATCCTCCCACCGGGAGTCCCTGATGTTACCAGCCCTCCACATGCACCTTCTACTTCTCCAAGTGGTTTCTTGTCTGCCATCCTCCTGGCAAGGGCACACATGCACACGCTCACACACAGAGAACACACACGCGTTCACGCTCATGCACATCACACGCTCTCTGTTTCACACATTTACCCCAGAACTGCTAAGGAAGGCTGCGGGGAGCCGGGCCTCCCCCACTTACCTGCAGCACAGGGAAGGTCTGGTGGGAGGAGAGGCCTGCCAGGGCTGCCAGGACTGGCTGCTCGGGTGTGGGGAGAACCTGCGAGCCGGGGGCCTGGCCCTGAGCCAGCAGGGCTGGAGGACACGCTGCAGCCGTCCCTGTGGTCTGACCACTTCCTCTCGGCTCCAGTGACGCCTTCCTGGAGGGGTACGTACAGCAGTTCCTCTACACCTTCCGGTACTTCTGCACGCCCCAGGACTTCCTGCACTTCCTCCTGGACCGCATCAACAGCACCCTGTCCAGGTACGGCCACAGACCCAGGACCCCACAAGGGGTGACACAGCCACAGGGTGGACCCCGTGGCACCTTGTTAGTGACTATGAAGGGCGAGGGGGTCCCTGGTGACCCTGACAAGGATGAGGGCAGAGCCTGGTGGGAGAAGGAAGAGCAAGGATAGGGGACACGGGGCCCCAGAGAAGGGAGCCAGCTGTGGCAGGAGGGGAGAGTGGCCAGAGAGAGGCCGCTGATGCTAATGGGGGAGGGGAGGGTGGGGGGAGGTGGGGGCGGGGGCAGGTAGGAGACGGGTGAGTGCCAAGCCCGTCAGCTGGAGGAGGGCGGCCGAAGGGGATGAGGGTCTTGCCAGCCCTCAGCCTTCCTCTGCAACACATGGGCAGCCGAGGGTTGGGGTCAGTGGAGAAGCTAGATGGACGTGCTCTGGCCTGTTCTCTGAGCTGGCCTGGCATCACCACCAGATTCCCTGTGCACTCCCTCCCTGGGGGCAGGGAATCACAGGAGAGACCTCCACCTGTGGAGCCAGGCTCCCACTCCACCTCCTATGCAGCGCCTGCACGCTGCCTCCCAGACCCCTGGCATCTCGGGGCCTGGCTGCAGGGGGTGACAGGTGCTCCAGGACTGGGCGCCGGGCAAGGGTGGAGGAGAGGCAGCAGGCTCCTGTCCTGGTCACTGAGCCCGGGGCCCCGCTGGGCACCTACTGGCTGTCTCTCCCATCCCCTGAGACAGGAGGGTAGGGCTGAAATCGTTCTCAAAGACAGAGCCACGCTCAGACCCCACTCACGCCCCCTTGCTTGGCAGTGTGCCCACAGGCAGCCGTCTGCCCGAGTGCGGCGTTGGGCGGCAGGTCTCACAGGGCCAGCGGGGGACCCTGCACGGCTTAGGTCTCCTCCTCTCTGCCTGCAGGGCCCACCAGGACCCCACCTCGACCTTCACCAAGATCTACAAGCGAAGCTTCTGCCTCCTGCAGGCCTGGCTGGAAGATTGCTATGCTGTGGACTTCACCCGGAACACCGGGCTCCTGGGCAGGCTTGAGGACTTCATCTCTTCCAAGGTGAGCACAGGCAGAGCGCCTGAGCAGCCCCTCCTCCTCCGCGGGCAGCACTTGGGGTGAGAGCCACCACCCTCGTCTGGGTGGCAAGCGACTGCCTTGTGCTTCTGCCCAGATCCTGCCACTGGACGGCTCCGCGGAGCACCTGCTGGGCCTCCTGGAGGTGGGCACTGACCGGCGGGCCGAGGGCACCTCCCGTGGCACAGACCTGGAGGACCCCAAGGGAGCCGAGGAGGACGGCAGACCCCTCAGTGCCCTCTGTAAGAGGCTCTCAGAAGACGGCGTCTCCCGGAAGGTGGGGGCCTTCCCCAGGGGAGGGCCTCCGGGGGCGGGCAGTGCAGCGCCCTGAGCCCAGAGAACACAGAGAGTGCGTGCACACGCGCGAACACACGTACGGGCACACCGCCTGCATGTACCCACATGCTCCCCACGTTGCCAGTCGTAGGTACCAGCCCTGTAAGGCTGGCACCTCCTGCCCCTCACCCTGCTCAAGGACAGGACAGCCGGGGAGCCCAGGCCAGCTCCTCAGATGACCTAACATTCCTGACCCTCAGGCCAGAGGTCTGGGTGGGAGACACCATCATCAGGAAATGGCCTGGGATGGGGGCCAGGTCTGAAGGGCCCTGTCTGTACTATATGGGGACGGCCCCAAACTTCAGTGGCTCTGTCCATGGGGGACCTGCTGAAATGACCAGGACAGTGTCCTTGAGCCAACATGGCCACAGGCAGGAGGGATTTGCTCTGTGGCTCTAGCTGAGCCAGCCTGAAGAGTCCCAGGCCCAGAGCCAGCCTGGTCTTCCCCCTGCCCCACCCCCGCCAGGCTGCCCACCTGGAAAGGACCAGCTGTGCTGACGGCCCCTTTAGCACAGCCTGACCTTGCCCCACAGAGCTTCCCGTGGAGGCTGTCCCGGGGCAACGGGCTGGCACTGCCACACCACAAGGAGCGCCAGTACACCATTGCGTCTGCCCTGCCCAAGCCCTGCTTCTTCGAGGACTTCTACGGCCCCTATGCCAAGGCCAACGAGAAGGGCCCCTACTTCCTGACCGAGTACAGCACCCACCAGCTCTTCAGCCAGCTAACACTTCTGCAACAGGTGATGGGCCTGCACACAGCTCATCTGCAGGGGCGTCACGGGGAGGGACGCTCTGGTGCTCTGATGTGTGCTGGAGGGACACGTGAGGGCCATGAATGGGGCCGGATGCACAGGCAGGGGGCGGGTGGGGACAGCGCTGGAGCATGGCTCTGGCGGCACACCGCCACTCCCGCGGCCAACTTGCACCCCCGTCCCGGACACTCCCAGCTCGCAAGCGCTAGAGGGCGCCCTGCCGGCCTCCTCCCTCCTGGCGCCCCCGCGCCCACCCGAGCCCCGCCCCCAGGTGTCCCCTTCCCCACCATCCTGGGCCCTGCGTCGCCTGGCAGGCGACAGTAGTGATGGTGACTCCTGTCATCCTACCTGCTGTCATCACGGCCGGGCAGGTAGAGAATCCCCTAGAGATGCTGCCTTGTCCACAAGGCCCCCGGGAAAGGGCTGAACATCTGTGTCCTTGTCTCTGACAGGAATTATTTCAAAAGTGCCATCCCGTCCACTTCTTAAACTCACGGGCCCTGGGCGTCATGGACAAAAGTGTGGCCATCCCCAAGTGAGTGTTCACCTGTCGGGTGTCATCCCAGAGTCCTGGGACAGATGGCTGGTGGCAGGGTCTTGGGGGCTTCACCTGAGTGCCTCATGGACACTGGTGGCCAAAGGGAGACGCTGGTGTCATGAACAGCCTCGGAGCCAGGCCCTCCACTCTCCACAGAGCCCATCCTGCCGGCCCCACGTGGATCTGGAGAGCCCCCTGCAACCCCAGGGCTGGGCCGGGCCACCTCCACACGTCCTCGCTGTGATGTGCACCTGTGTCTCTTCCAGAGCCAGCTCCTCCGAGTCTCTGTCAGCCAAAACCTGCAGCTTATTTCTGCCCAATTACGTGCAGGACAAGTACCTATTACAGCTTTTGAGAAGTGCAGATGACGTCAGCACCTGGGTGGCAGCTGAAATTGTGACCAGCCACACCTCCAAGGTTGGTGCCTCGGCAGCTCCCATCTCAGAGAAGGGTTTGGGGTAGAGCCGCGTGGACACGTGGTGCCTTCTGTGGAACCCCCAGTCGAATGTTCTCCCAAGTGCAGGGAATCCAGACTCAACCCAAGGCAAAGCATAAAAGTAGTGTCACAGCTTTTGTTGGTGGTGACGTCAGACACCATCCAGCTCTCCAGCGTGTGCCGCCTGTCACACCCCCAGCCTGCCGTGGCTCTTCAAAGCCTCTCCTCCATGGAACTTTCACACATACGTGTGTGCACACAGAGTCACACGTGTGCATACACTCTGATACATGCACCCCTTACACAAATACACCCCTTCACACCCATACCCCCTCACACTCACACTCCCTCTCACACCCATACCCTCCTGACACACACTCCCTCTCACACACATACCCCTCACACTCACACACACTCCCTCTCACACTCACACACATACCCCTCACACTCACACACACTATTGCTTTTACATACATTATCTCTCTGACACACAGAAACTCTCCTAAATAGTCCCTGTTACCCACATAGATTTTCCCACAGGTTCCCGGACACACACTCCCTGTCACACACATGCCCCTTACACTCACACACTCCCTCACACTCACACACGTGCTCCCTCTCACACCCACACACTTCCTCACACTCACACTCCCTCTCACACACATACCCTCCTGACACACACTCCCTCTCACACACATACCCCTCACACTCACACACTCCCTCACACTCACACACGTGCTCCCTCTCACACATTCCCACACCCATACCCTCCTGACACACACTCCCTGTCACACACATGCCCTCTCCCGCACTCGCACCATCCTGCTCACTCGCAGCCCCTCACACACTCTCACGCTCACACTCAGGGCTCAGAGTGCACCCCTAGGGGGCTCCCTCCACACTCCTGCCTGAGCCAGGTCCCGGGGCTGGGAATTGTGACTCCCAAGTGTCCCACTAACCTGAACTCTCTGAGAGTGGGAACCAACTTAGTCACATTCCCCGTCACTGTCACATCCCCTGCAGGAGTGCAGTGTGTGTTCTCAGCCGGTCTGTGGAATAAATGAAACACGGGTCAGCGGTCCAGTCAAGGTCAAGCTCTTGCTGTTCTCGGGCCTCTCTTGGCCTGGACTGTGGGTATCTCAGCCTGAACTCACTCACCTGCTTCAGGCAGGGTACTGGGCAGGCCAAGGACAGTCACCCGCCTCAAAGCCAGCGCCTCCTTCCAGGTTCCCACCCACTCAGGAGGGTTGAGGGAGGACAGAGCCCCCCAGCCCCTTGTGCACCTGCACCTCCACCCAGTCAACACCCTATTGCCAAGGCCTCCAGTTTCTTGCTACCTGAGGCAAGCAGTGGGAGGGAGCATCACTGGAGTCCTGCCCACATGAAGAGGCCACCCTGGCACACAGAGGAATGACAGTTGGGACCACGAGGGCTCCTCCTGTGTAACACAGCCCCTTCCCGTGGGGAGACACCCACCACTCCACAGGCGGCAGCTCCCTTAAAGCAAACTCTGGCCCAAATAACAGGTCTCCTCAAGCGTGATCCCCTCTGCTGCTGCCCCTGGGCAGAGCATCACAGGGGGCGCTCAGGGGTGGGAGGGCACCATTGTTCTGCCCTAGCTGCCCCAGAGGCCGCAGAGGCCACCACCTCCTCATCAGACAGCAAAGTGAAGATAAGTCTATTCCTGCATTAACAGCCTCTGCAATTTGTCTTTCTAATGTTCCCCCATGTTTCCGCTCACCCCAAACCCACAGGGCAACCCAAGGCCCATTAATATATGCAGAGTTTTCTACTTTTTCCCCCTTGGGGGAGAATTTTCAAGCTTTAGGGATTTGTTAGCCAACAGACTGACCCATCCTCATTTCTGCCAGGATGTGGGAACAGGGACCCTGGGCTTTACCCACTTTGTTCTAATCCACAACATTACAGATATCACGAGTGACATCGAGATGTGGCTTCCCTAAATCAGGGTCTTCAAACAGGGGCTTGTGTGGTTGGGCTTCACAAGGACTTCCAATGAGAATTGACCAAGGACAGTCAACAGTCACTTCATGGACCTCAGCTTCCCAGGAGTATTCCTACATCAGAGCCCCCAAAAAGAGAGAGGGCAGGCCCCTTCCCAGCCCAAGAGAGAAGATGGGCTCTGTGTCCTGAGTCTGCATGTTCCCTGCCCAGCAGGTCAACACAGAGAGGCATGACACATTTACAGGCCTGCGTGGTCAGCACAGTGGAACAGATCAACAGATGCACACCCAGTTGTTGGCACCCAGCTTGGAAGGACTCATGGTGTCACCGGGGCAGAACTCCTTCCATTGTCGTGAAAGGGCTCCCGCATCCCTGTAAGCAAAGGACAGAATTATTCAAATGAGCAACACACCCACATGTAGGAACCAACGGGAGAAAGAGTGGGAGCCGGGTTTCTAATGAAACTGCACGTGGACCTTGGACAAAGGTGTTTGTCACATTCTGATATGTTGTTCACATATTGTGTGTTACTTACTGTAATGTCAGAACAATCCAGAAGACTTTCATTTTTGTATGCTGTTGTCAAGAAAATGGCTAAAATTCAAATTTTGAGCCAGAGAATACAACGGGCAGTCATTAAATGTCCTTGGTGGTAACCGTGCAGTCCATGGAGATGACACCCTTGGGGGCACAGAATGGAAAAACAGGTGAAGAAGAAAAAGAAACGGTGTGAAGCTTGTCACCTTAAGGAAAAGCTTGCTGACTTTTTTTTTAGATGAATAATGGTGGATTTGAAGGCAAAACTGGATTTCGGTTTAATCAGATAGTCTTTCAAGTGATAGAGCAGCTAGAAGAAAGAAGCAACCCAAATGTCCACCACAGAGAAATGGATAAACCAAATGGGGTTTGTCTGTACTGGGGGATCTCATTCAGCCTTAAAAAGGAATGAAGTCCTGATACAGGCTACAGCGTGGATGAACCCAAAGGACTTTACGCTCAGGGAAGTAAGCCAGTCACAGAAAGACAAATACTGCTTGATTCCACTCCAGGAGGTCCCTGGAGTGGTTGAAATCACACAGCCAGGAAGTAGAAGGCTGGGCGCCGGGGGCTGGGGGGCGAGGGATGGGGAGCAGGGGTTTGATGCTTGCAGTTTCAGTTTCACAAAACAGAGTTCTAAGCTGTGACACAAGCAGGAGAGTGTAGTTAACACTACTGAGCTATATTAAAAATGGTTCAAGAGTAGATTTTACATTACGCGTTTTTTACCACAAACATTTAAAAAAAAAAAAAAAAAACATGATGGAACAGTTTTATCTGAAAGTGCTGGAAAGTACATATTTTGCATCTGTTTAAATATATGAAGAAAAAATTGGGATGTCGACTTAAAAAGTATAAGCGAGCAAATGTTTTTCAAGATCCTCTAAGAGGCACGCAGCTGGACAATGGGAGGCCACCAGGGTGAATGAGCTTCCGTCCGTGTGACCCTTGAGAGCATCGGAATCTGCGCAGACAAGGTCAAGCCCAGTGCAGAGGCACGTGGTTGGGACCCACAGGCACTGTCTCCACCTGAAGGGTGGCCCCCGGCCCGGGTGACAGTTCATAGGGTGAGGCAGCTCTGAAAGGGTGTGCCCCGCCAGGAATGAGAACCCTGTGGGGTGTTCCCGTCAAATCTGCTGACCCGTGGAACCAGACCCACCCCATCCCCACCCGTCAGGCTCTGAAAACTGGGGAGCAGTAGACTCCGCCAGGCAGAAAATGAGAAGCTGCCTGTTTGTTTCCCGATGGTCACTAGGGGCATCGGCTCCCTCTCCCCCAGCCGGGTGCCCTTCCGGTCCTGAAGCTGTGCCGCCTCCCCCATTTGTCCTGCTCCTAGAGCACAGGTTTGTCTTGGGAGTGACTTTGCTTTTGAAGAGTGAGGTTGACTTCTTTTCACATCTTTACGCTTATGGGGCACTTGCCTTTCTGTTTTGTGTTTTCAAGTCATGCCTGTCCTCCTGCCTCATCACGGCCACCGCCCCCCAGACCTAAGCCCACTCACCACCTGCTTCCCACACAGGTGGTGGGGCCCTCACCGCCCCGTGTGCCTGGCTCTGGGTTACTCTGACGGGTCCCCAGAGGCTCTCTACCAGCTTGTCTTAAATCAGAGGACCCTGAGTATGTCCTTCTCTGGTTTCAGTTGCAGGTGAATTTGCTGTCCAAATTTTTGCTGATTGCAAAATCTTCCTATGAGCAGAGGAACTTCGCGACAGCCATGCAGATTCTGGGAGGCCTGGAGCACCTGGCCGTGAGGCAGTCCCCTGTGAGTCACCCTGGAGAGCCACTGGCCACGGCGGGCATGTGGGCACTGTGGCCGCAGGGGGCTCACCTGTGCTTTAATTTCAGGCCTGGAGAATTTTACCCGCGAAGATAGCGGAGGTCATGGAAGAGCTGAAAGCCGTGGAGGTACTGGTGCTGTGCATGAGCTTCTGGCAGCTTGTGTCCACCTGGGGCGTTCCCTGCGGACATGCTCTGCATATCTCTGGGGGGCTCACCAGGCAGAGCCTGCATCACGGCCCCCAGACCACACAGCCACCCACACCCCCACCCAGAGCTGGCCCAGTCTTGCCCATCTCCCCACAGGGCACAGACTGTGGGGCCAGTGCACAGGGTACAGGTGCCCAGAGGACCAAACTGAGCTTAGCTGACCTGCTCGCCTCCTTGCAGCCTCCTGAGGTCACAAATGAGCAAACACTGGAAGGCTGGGCATTTCCCCGGAGGAGGCCCTAGGAGCAGACTGCAGCCAAGGCCCCAAACAGCTCTCCATGGGGTGGGAGGGCTGGCATGTGTCCTCAGTGGACACCAGAAACAGGTCCCTGAAGCCAGGCAGCCTGGGTCTTGGCCCCCTTGGGGCAGCTGGGTCACCCGGCTATTTTCTGGAGCCCAGAGAGAGTCAGTTAGGATACAAGTTTGCCATTTCTGGTGCCAGGAAGTGTGTAGCTTTCCAAGGGATGTCCGCGTTCCCCTGGTGTCTGCGGGCTTCAGACATCCAGACTTTTGACCCCGATCCAATCATCCAAGGCACAGTAAGGATCAGATGTAAATCACTGCTGTGCAGCCCCTTGCAGGGGGAGTACTAGCTCCAACCCAGACTGGGGGAGCCGAGTGCCCTGGGCTGACACCTCATCCGTCCCTCCCTCCCCACACCCCTGGCTGGGTCCTCAGGTCTTCCTGAAGAGTGACAGCCTGTGTCTGATGGAAGGACGGCGCTTCCGGGCCCAGCCCACGCTGCCCTCAGCCCGCCTCCTGGCCATGCACATCCAGCAGCTGGAGACAGGCGGCTTCACCATGACCAATGGGGCCCACAGGTGGAGCAAGCTCAGGTGAGGGGGCTATGCTCCCAACGACCCCATGGGCCCCTCGCCCTCACACTGTCTGCACAGCACCCGCGGCCAGTCTTCAGCCTGCTCCGGTGGTGCCACGGTTCCCCTGCCCAGCACCCCTGCGGGCCCAGCACACCTGGGAGGTGCAGACTGGGGGCTGCTTGTGAAAACCACCTTGGTGCCCCCCGACAAAGAGGGCCATGCTCATCTCTGCCTCGGAAGCCACAAGCTCCCTCCAGCCCTCCTCCACTGGGGGCTCCAGGCCTCATCGGAGATGCCCCCCCATATCTCACAGGCCTGGGCCAGCCCTTCTCCAGAGGCCTGCACCCCCACAGCCTTGGACCCACCTGTTCCCCTTCCACCTCTCTGCATCACCCACATGTACAGACGGGTGAGGCTGGCCAGGCCACGGTCCAGCTGCACACCCCTTAGGGTCAAGGGCAGATCTCAGCTGGCACAGCCCAGGGGACCTGCAGCCCAGTGGTTCCAGCCTCCTTTTGGTCACCAACTTAAAAAGTTATTTAAGAGGCACACTGGTCCGTGTCAGCAAAATGGAAACTAACAAGAGGAGAGGCCACAATCCCGAAGGAGCGTGGGCAGAGGCCTAATGATGACTCTTCTTCACTCTGTTTTAGGTCTGGATATATATGCATGTTTGTCTTTATTTGAGGGAGAGAGATGGGCGGGGGGGGGGGGGGGCAGAGGGAGAGAGAATCCCAAGCAGACTCCATGCCCAGCACAGAGCCCCCACGTGGCGCTCGACCTCAGGACCTGGAGATCATGACCTGAGCCCCAATCAGGAGTCGGGCGCGTAACCGACTGAGCCACCCGGGCGCCCCCGCGTGTTTGTCTTTTAATCACCAAAGTGCAGTCCTTCATTCTGGAGGTGCTGTCTCTTCATCCACAATCAGGATGAGAATGTGAAGTCCACAGCCTCCCTCAGGCAGAATTACCGACTTCTGCTTCGTGGTCCCCGCTTTCTTGGATGACACCCAGGGGTGTGTGGTCACCAACTTCCCGCTTTCCTGGGAAGTGAGTCCCGGTGCGAGCACTGGCCAATGCCCAGGGTGTAAATACTTTCGTGATGGTGGCTCTTGAGCCGTGATCATGATGTCCCTGAACACAGAGCTGGGGAGAAACATGTGCCCAGTGACCCCTGAGTACACCCTTAAGTGACCCTGCATCTATCTCCTCTACCTCCTCCATGGGCGCGCAGGGGCTGACACTGGGGTGTATTCATGTCAGAACCCTTAGCACCAACCAGGCCCAACACAGATCTTCAGCACATGTTTATGGACTGAAGAGTGGCTGGATGGACCAACAGACAGAGGCACGAGCAGAGGGGTGGATGGGAGCGCGGGTGAGCAGACAGGCCTGGGTACTGAAATGAGGTACCCCAGAGTTTGTACTGGGAGAGGTTTGGGTTAGACACTTCCCAGGATGCGCTGGGAATTCGCAAGCACAGGCTCGTGCAGACTAACAGTCCACATCTCCACGCCCCCCACAGAAACATAGCCAAGGTGGTGAGCCAGGTGCGTGCGTTCCAGGAGAACCCCTACACGTTCGCGCCCGACCCCAAGCTGCAGTCCTACCTCAAGCAAAGAATCGCACGCTTCAGCGGGGCCGACATTTCCATTTTAGCGGCAGACAACAGGGCCTCCTTCCACCAGATCAGCAGCGAAAAGCACTCCCGGAAGATCCAGGACAAGTTACGGAGAATGAAGGCCACGTTTCAGTGACGGGGACAGTGGGTGTGGTGGGGATTCCAAAGACCCAGGTAGAAAGGAGGCACCGCTTGCTGCCCCGGCCCAGACGGTCCCAGCACACACCTGCCGCTGTAGACTAGGGAGCCCAACAGCACAGTGTGGGGCACGGGGCTCAGCCCGGGCGGCGGGGTACCTGGCCGGGGGGCACCAGGAGGGGGAGGCTCAGGGCCTGGCTAAGCCCGAGAGGACAGGTTTCAGTGGAGGTCGGGGTGTTTCTGTTAGTGTAAAACTATATTTAAAGATTAAAACAGAAATAGAATAAGTAACCTCCCCAGGAGCCACATACCCATTTATACTTCTTAGAGATACACCGCTCTCCCCCAAGTGCCCAGGGATCCCGCCCCCCAAAACCCCACACCCACCCACCCTGACTCAGAGCAGTGTTTTCATGAGTCTGGCTTATGTCTGCCCAGCAACCAAGGACCAAAATGACCTCTGACCCCTATGCCAATCACAGGTTCCAGGGGTTTCCAAAACCTTCCACTGGGGCCCTGAGGCTTCCCAGTGGCCCAAGCCCCAACCTGGGTCCACACTCCCATGCCCAGACCTCCCCGCTTCCACTCAGACACCCCCAAACCTCCCCCCACACTCCTCAGACCTCTCCTCACACCCCCAAACCTCCCCGCCACACTCCCTTGACCCCTCCTTCCAGACCCCCCTCTAGGGGCCCAGCTCAGCTCACCCCCATTCCAGCCCATGTGGGGGTGCCTGAGTTTTGTAGCCCTTGCCCCAGCAGGCCTGATGGGGTCTCTGTCCCGGCCCAGCTTCCTGCTGCTGGTGAGCACCTCACAGCTCCACACTGGCAGCCCCCAGTGCCCGTGGCCCCGTGTGCCCTCCACCGTTGCCAACCCCCACCACTTAGAACAGCTCCCGGTGAGGCCTGCAAGGCTCTGCTTCCTAGCAAAGCACACAGGTCACAAACAGCAGCTCCAGAGCAGGTTCAAGGCCTCAGGGGCCCTGAGAGCATCCCCCAGTCCCACCTGGGGGCCTGGGGGCCTCAGGCCTGGGGCCTGCGCCCCATCTGCCTCAACAGCCATGCATGCGCTGCGCACACCTATGCCCAGGCTCCTGCCGCTTGCCTTCACTAGTGCTTTGTCCGAGCAGTGGAGGAGATGACGTGTGCTGCCTGGATGGTTCCAAGCTCTTCCCCGGGGCTCTGTTTCCAAACGGCCGGTGTTGGGCCTTTGCTCAGCAGGTGGAAGACACACTCGGCCAGATGTACTGGGACCAGGAAGGTGCAGTCGCATCCCTCACGACAGGGAGCTCAGACCCCTGGCACCATCCTGGGCACCAACGTTCTTACGCTGCAAATCGCTGGGAGACCGGAGGTGGTTCTCTTGTTTCAGAATCAGTGATTCTTTAGAACAACCAGCTAGTGGTATTTCTGGGAAAACCGTTACTTGTGATAGAATGCTGAGTCTGTAATGTCAAGATGTGTTTCCCACATAAACTCATCCAAGACATCCAGAACAGAAGAGGGACTCAGTGCCTCCCACCATGCAGATGCGGGGGCGGGGGGGTGGCTTTTGTATGAGGATTATGTTCTACTAAACACCTACATTCCCGGATTCTGAATTTAACAAAGGTAGTGTCACAGAGCCTGAAACTGAGTTAGTGTCTGGCGCAAATACACATTCCAGTCCTAACGATTTGTTCACGGGAAAGTGACTGGGCTTTCAGCTTAAGCACGACTGTCTGCATGTCGCCCGAATGTCACTGGCACAGATTTCTAAATAAAATCATTTCTACCACGACGGCTTCCATAGGCCTTATTTTGTTTGTCTCCAAAGTGACACTTGCTTTGGGGGGTCAGGGTGGGCTCCCCTCGTGGCCAGAGACAACTCCAGGGGTGCTCCTGAGGGCACAAGGGACAAGAAGTCCTAGCCACAGCCGTGTCCTTGGGCGGCATGGACAAGGGACAGATCTGCCGATTCGCTTAATTCAGGGCCCACCAGAACTGAACCCCGGAACCCCCGGGCCTGTGAGCAAGCAGACTCCTTCTGCTGCAGGAAACATCTACCTGCAAACCACCCAAAACCGCTGAGCCACCAAGGCCCCACCGCACCGCAGCCCCAAAGCTACTCTGCCACAGACTCTGCCCAGCCTCAGCAGGGTCCCCCGTGGCAGGCCCCACGCCACAGCAGGCCACCAACCTCACCCAGAGCCTCAGGGCAGGACAGCCAGCCCCTCCCTCCCCAGGGCAAGGCAAGGGTGTTCCTTGAGGCACCCACTGCGAAGGGTCCTGATAGAAGAGCTTAGGATTGGTGGGCACTGCAAAAGGAGAGGTGGAAGGCCAGGGGTTCAGAGAATTTGGGGACATAAATGGTTGATGTTTTCTGTGGCAGAATCATCTGGGAACATCCCTGTAATGAATGATGAAGCCCTCTGCGTGGCAGGAGAGTCCCAGAAGAGGAAAGTCACTGGACAGTAGCAGCCACCGTTAGGTGGTTCTGGTGTCCCCGTTGTGGGTGGGTGGGTGATTTCTGTCCTTACCCACCTTAAAATCACTAAACCCTGGTGTCTCTTCCTTCCTGAGAAAGGCCATAAGACCAGGGTCTCCCTCCACTTCACTGGTCTAATCAAATCAATGGGTTTTTCTTTAGGTGAATTGACAGCCCCTTAGGCCCCACAAGGAGCCTTGTTTCCCAGGTTCCCCCCACCCACCCTGTGCAGTCCCTTCCTGCGCCAGATGGAGGCTGGCTCAGTGTACTGAGGCTCTGGGGAAAGCCCTCACTATGTGCGATGTTTGACTACCCCCAAGACCACCATGCTGGCACAAGCCCAAGGTAGCCCTAGTGGGCTGAATAGAGATGGAGAGAGAGAGATGTCTGGCCAGCCGGCCCATGAGCCGCCTTCTGGAGAAGGCCTGCGGAGCCCCGGGCAGCCAGGCCCTGGCCTGGGAAGTGGTGTCCAGTCAGGAGGGAGTGCCCAGCAACCCACCTGCACCCTGGTGCCAGGTCTGACCACAGAATCACCAGCATAACCAAACAGCGTCAGCCCTGGCCGCCACTCAGAGTGCTGGGTTATACTGTGCTAAACAACTCAGTGGTCCGTCCGTTCGTTGCGTGCTGTGGGGCGGATGCACTCCCTGCTCTGAGAGGGGCTTCTGGCCTGTGAAAGGGGACCCCGTCAGCTGGCCCCCCACCACAATGGCCCTGCAGACAGGGGCAGTTTGGGGTCGCTTCCTATGGCCGCTATTGCTGTTTAAAGCCTGCTCTACAGGTGAGGGGGGGTCTCGGGGGCACGCTGTGGGAGGGGCTGCCCTGTCTCTTCACCCACCTCCCACCGCTTTAGGGGGCTGACCTACTTCACCATGGGAAACAGTTGGTTTGAAGGGAAAGGGCGAGGCCCAAGACCACATAAGGACTGCACTCCAGTCAGGGGACAGACTTCTCACCAGAGTCCAGATGAGCAATCCTAAAGCTACTTTCCTTACACACAAGGGCTCATCAATAAGTACGTCATAGATAAGGTTGCCAGCCTCCTGTTTGTCAGAGAACAAAGCTGCCGAAAAGCTGGTGGGGAAGCTAGGTGTGTGTGGACATGTGGGTTGGTATACACATGCGCTTCCTAGCACACCCTCCGCAGGGCCGCGTGGGGCTTAGCTCTCATCGGACCATCTCTGTGGGCGGCCCTGGGCACTGCAGGGGCAGCTCCCAGCACCTCCGTTCTCTACCCCCCGATGCCAGCAGCACCCCCAAGTTGTGACAACCAGTGTCTCCAGACATCACTCAATATGCCCGGGGGGGGCAAACTATTACCCGAGAACCAGTGGCCTGGAAACAGTGACACCCCAGTAGCATCAGGCACACCCCGTATCCAGATATTGGGTTGCAGATACCGTTCTCCCAAAAAAGGGACCAGAGATTTTTGGAGAAATGGCAGAATGGCTGATTCTAGGGCTGGAGTGGAGAAAGTACAAAGCAGAAGTATCTGGTAGTGCCACAAAGCAAAGACCTGTGGGGGTGGGGCATGTTGAAAGGACACAGGACAAGAGGGAAAGGAGAAAGAGCTGGGGCGACCTGAGCCCCTAAACACGACAGCGTGGGACTGCACCCTGGGAACAGAACACCCACGAGGCCACTGAACAGGAAGAATTACAGGAGAATCCCAAACAACACATGCAGGTGCCCCCCCGAAGGGTGGGGTGCACCCACTGACTGGCCCCGGCTGCAGGGCAGGGAGGGCAAGTGGAGAGATGGCGGGCACTGCTTGAACTCCTAGACCTTCTTCCCAAAAACCCATAACCAGGGTAATCATGAGAAGGCACCTGACAAACCCAAGTAGAGGGACACCCACAAAACACCCAACAGTCTCCTCAAAGCGCCAAGAACAAGAGTGAGAAACTGCCAGGGTCCAGACGGGACAAAGGAGGCACAGGACGACCAAACGCAGAGCAGTACCCTGGACCGGGTCCCGGGGCAGAAACCCCCGGGGGGTTTTGCACATCGGTGCAAAACCTGGGGAAACCTGGAAAAACCCTATTACACTCTGTGGCTCAGCCAGTGGTGGTGTGCCAACAGGAATTTCTCAGCTTTGACAAAGGTGCCACGGTCCCATGAGATGCTCAACTAAAGGGACACACAGGGACACCAGCACCTTCTCTGCCACCTGGCTGTAAACCTAAAATTGTCCCAAACTAAAAAGTTGTAAAAACTACTAGACCTAGTATACAGAAATACAATTGATTTTTGTTTATTCCTATATTCAGTGACCTCGCTAAATTTACTTATTAATTCTAATAATGTGCTTGCAGAATATTTTGTATTTCCCATGTTTACAATCATATCACCTGCAAATAATGATGCTTTTACTTCTTCCTTTCCCATCTTTATAAACCTTACTCCTTTTTCTTGTCTTATTGCTCTGGCTAGACTTCTAGAATAACGTTCGATAGGATCAGTGATGCTGGGCACCACCCTAATTCCTAATCGCAGGGAGTACTGCTCAATATTCTCTTAGTCATGACGTAAGCTGTAGGTACTCTTTATCAGAATAAAGCAGTGTTTTCTGTGAAGCGTGTGTGAATTATGACACCAATTCTGAACACTGGCCGTAACTCAGCATGTCCTACC